ATTGTCAAATCACATAACCATCCAAATAATTGTGAGCCGTATATTTGTAAGCTCCTTCCCTAGCCTATTGCTACGTGCTTAATGTCCATTAGGATAGAGATTGCCTCTGTCTTTATCTTCTAATGCATAGATTAAACCAGTGATAGATTTTGCCAACCTGGAAAGTGGCAGTAGCCAGACATGTACGACTAACTTCCCAGCTTAATTTCTTAAGGGAAAAACATTTTACTTGTGAAGAAGACAAGCAAATCTTCACTTCGGATTCACATAAAATCTAGGGCCAGATGTTCTTTCCTGGTTCCATCTTTACATGACATAAACTTTAACTTATTAATTATATTCATATATCATAGAAGTTTGTTTTAAGATATTCCACTAGCACATGAGCACACGTTTGATGGGGTCCCTAGTTAAAGGCAGTTGTTTAGTCGTCGCCATCGATCTATATAAAGAACTACTTCCTTTGCTGGAGCCATTGTGAGTTCGTAACATTTTCTCAAACCTGACTTATAGCTTCTTCCCTTTATTTTCTTCTACATAAAGAAATGGCGTTGATGGTGCAAGAAAGATCAGCATTTGATGGATTCATAGAAGAAATTGAAGCCCCGAAAATTGATGGTGCTCTTCTCATTTCCTTGTTAGAGGAATCACCTTGTGAGGAGTTCAACGATGAACAATTACAAAGTGTAATGCAATCTCTAGAAGAAGAGATCAGTGCAACTACAACGGCAAACCATGATTGTACAATGCAGCCTGAATTCGTCAGTGAGGTGAATAGAGATTGCGGTAATTTGGAGTGGGATTTCCGTTACTTTGAATGGAATGAAATGGACATGGTGCCTTCCTCGCCAAGTGACGACATGAATTGGTGCATAGAGCATCATATAGAGGAGATGGAGAAGATGATGGAATTTATTGATGAACCTTATTCTCCGAATTATTATGCAGTTAATGTTCCCTCAGAGGAACATGGATATACTTCTTTGTGGCAGGAAGCATATGATACAGTAATGTAAATTAGCTTAGATTACATTGCTTTTTCCCTATCTTCCCTCTTCTTTCTAATCCCTGTGAAGAGTAGTATAATTAGTTTGTAGTGTCAAGCTTTTTCAAATGATAAAAATTCTTGATTTTCTTTCTGGAATTATCATCATGAACAACCAGGCAACTTAGTTTCCACTCGATTCATCAAAAATTTGGATTCTCTAATCCTGTTAAAATTAAACGTTAATAATCACTGATATATATCAACCCCTTCAGAAAGAAGAGCTCTGCCAATGGAATGGTTAGAGTAATGGCCAAGAATTCTAATCAATTTTCCATTTTCAACATGATATCTCAGAATATTATCAAACTTAATTTATTCAACTGGATTTCATTTTTAACTTGTTTTACTGAAAAAAAAACCTTGAAAATGGACAGCAGCTTTCAGTTTCTATGATGGGAAAAGTAATTCTTCATTTTTTACAAATCAGCTCGATCTGTTGCCAAAATCAACATAGGAATATATATCACTTTTTACAACGAAGAGTGGTTAGTCCTTGTTTAATTAAGAATATTAATTCCTAATGACTGACTAATTTCCTTAACAATTCAATTTCACTGACAGATTTTTATTTGAACAATCATAAAGTAAGTAATACAGGTAAAGTACGATTTTTGAAACTTATGGATTGATTTGTTGCCACTTTAATCTTTACCATTTTGTAAGATAACAAGGTTGCAAACTCTGCAGAGCATCAATCTTTTTTAGTTCTTCCTTTTTTTTTTTTTCTGATATGAATTCGTCTATTTTATTAAAACAAGATTAAGAAGGGGCCTATGGTCGGATATTAGCTGTAGATACCTAAATGGTTATTGTCTGGATACAAAGTTTGCTTTGGTGTTTTGAAACTTTAACATCAAATTAATTATTTTGGTATATAGAAGGAAGACTTGTAGGAATAAGGAAAGGTTATTGTCATGAATGTGTTAGGCTTATAGGGACAGATTATAAAAATTAAACGGAAATTACCAATACCATGTTTAGGTGTATAATTTAAGCAGATATAAAAAGAAATCGATCGTTGAAAGTGGATTTGGTGACAAACAAACTTTGATCGTAATCCAAAATAATATTAATTTCAAGCAAATGGAGTTGTTCACTTTGTTTCTTGACAAACATAACAAGTAATTAACAGGAAGACAAAGCACATGGGTGAGGTTTCATTCATTGTCCATTAAAGGTAAAAGCACATTTAAGACCAAAAAGATATTCAACTTAATTTTTTTTTTTTTGTGTGGTGGCAGCATGTGCACCAAAGTGTTGGTTGAATGATAAAAAATATGGGCCAATGCGTTCTAGCTGATTGTGATTGGTATAAGTGACCATTCCTCGTCAACCCAGCATCAACATGTGACAGAAGCTCACTTATGTATTATTCATGCCCCACTTTATAAATTTAAAGATTCATCAATTAACCAATGGGTGCAGGAACTTGTCAATGAATCCTGTCAATTGTGGGTTAGGTGTACAATGTCTAATGCCATTGTTTAAGTTATCGTCCTTGCTGTTCCTCTGTCTATGGTCATACTCCACAAAAGATAGATCTTGCCTATGTAGAAAATCTCTCTTTTTGGACAAAATAATAGAGTCTTGTCGTCTATTCTCTTCTGCCATGACCATTGGGTTAATAGTATGCTTCCACCTTGTTTCTTTATGACTTGGCACAATTATCTATGCAAACTAATGAGCATATGATGGCAGAGTCATTGCACGTATGCAAATTTCCTATATATGTATAAAGTTTTACGTCCTTTTGAGAGAGCCATTGTGAATTGTGATTCAATACTTTCTCAATTCTAATTCTTATATTGGCAATTTCGCACTTGCTTTTCTCTCTCACTTCCCCTTTTCAGCAATGGCTTTTCTAGTACAAGAAAATTCGTTATGCATCAGCTGTGACAATGACTTCAACAGTGCGCTTCTCATGTCCTTCCTTGAAGAATCATCGCCTGGTGAAGATTACAACCACGAAGAACTGGATAGCTTGATGAGATCATTAGCAGCAGAAATCAATCCAAACTCGATAGATATTCAAGATTTAATGATGAAACCGGAAAGTCCCAGCGATGGAAATGAAAGTCATGGTCCCGAGTCAATTGATCTTGACTTTGAGTGGGCTGATATGGAGCCAATGCCATCCCCATCACCAAGCCATGACATGAACTGGCACATGGACGCTCAGGGAGAGGAAGCGGATGCCTTGATTGAGATTGCAGATGAATATTCCGATGCATACTTTGGTGATGTCCTAGAGGGGCAAATTTACACAACTTCTTGGGCTGAATTAGATGCAATAGAAATGTAAAGCTATGTAAACTATATTTCTCCTTCTCAATTTCCATCTCCGATTTCTTTGTACAAAAATGAATACTAAGAACCATGAATTTCCATATGTTGTACATTTAAATATGGATACAGAGTCTTGTATGCTAGATTGTGGCAATTGATCATGATACAAATTTTCAGCAAATCATATCTCAGCTCTATTAAACCATCTACTTTCTTCGTTCTTAAACTTGGTCAGAGGGAAGTGTTTCAAAATCAAAGTCAAAAGCTTAGACCTTGGAGGTATCAGAATCAAAGCAGGAACAAAAACATGAAACAACTCACCTTTGAAATCTCGAGAGTCAAAAGCTTCTAGAGGTCAGATGAAGGGTCCTTGGCCTTTTAAACAATTTTGGCACGTTTGGACTAATTACCTAATTAGGAGCATTGTTTGGTCTAATTGTTCATTAAAACATCGTATGAATAATAAGGATCGATTAATTATTGAATCACACAATTTGAACAAAGAATCTAATTTTACAAATTGAATATCCTAGTCAATAACACAACTTCTATTATATCAACTATTCTGATCAATAAATCTTAATATTTCTTTAGAAGATTTTCAAGTTAAAGCCGGAAATCAGTGTTAGTGTTAATAATTATGAGAAATAATAGTCCAAGGTCTCAATTGAACATTAGAAAAAATTTTAATGGATAAATCATGATTTTGCCAATATTGTCGAATTTCCCATTATATCTTTAATTTTATCTATTCGTATAAAAAATTGTCTTTTCAAATTATATAAAGGTTAAAAATGAAATTGTAACTAGTGCTTTAAATTTTGTGCAAATAAAAACAAAATAAGACCTACAAAAGATTAGAGATTAGACTAAGGGTGCGTTATTGTAAAACATAAACACAATATGATAAGGAATGTGTTAAAATAATTATTATAATCCCACTGATTTAGCTTCTCATAATAGAATGAAAACCACAACATTTTCTTGCCTTACTTATCATCTAAGTATATGCGGTAATTAAGCCTGCCCGATCACCAAAAACCTCATGCAAATCAAATTAATGGTCCGAACATATCCCACCATTTTATTAGCATCTCTTTTTTTTTAAATGTAAAGATTAAAAGCATAATTAATTAAAAATAGGTCAAGTTGGCTTGACAATCCTAACAATTATGACTCATACCGTACCAATTCCATCCCCATGTTGGCAATGGTACTTAATGTCTATTTGAGGTAGATATTGTCTGCTCTCTGTTTCTCTAGCTTTATCTTAATTCATTGAGTCAGATGCAACCAGTGCTGGATATTGCCCACCTGGAAAGTAGTTGTTCCTAGACAAAGTGAGGATTTTCTATTCTTCCTGACCTTTCTTAACTTTGAAATCCTTCACTTGAGATACACCTAAAATCATGTGGCGGATATTAAATAATACAGCTTCGATTTGTCACTATTTTAAACATAATTTTATGTTCTTTCTTTGTTTCAACTTTACCTGGCACAACCCTTCGATAATATCCACTCACTTATTCAATTATTTTTCTGTCCAATTGATGGTCTATTTAATTATTAGGTGTACACATGGCCGCACGTTTCATGGGGCCTTCAAGTACAATTGCTTGGCCTATATAAAGATAACTTCCATTGATGGAGTCATTGTGAGTTTTTAACACATTTTCAAGCCTATCTCAGCCTCTTTCATTCTTTTTATTCTACACCAAAAAGAAAAGGGCAAATATGGCTCACTTGTTGAAGGAAAAACCAGGATTGATCGATGGAAGCAATGTTATGGAAGACATCGAAGTCCCCGAAATTGATGCTGCTCTTTTAATGTCCTTATTAGAGGAGTCACATTGTGAGGAGTACTGCAATGAGGAACAAGTAAATAGCTTAATGGAATCTCTAGAAGCAGAGATTAGAATGGCAAACCATGATTCATGCTATGAAGGAGACATGGAAAGCAACGATGGCTTCAATTGCTTTGAATGGACGGAAATGGAAATGGTGCCTTCCTCGCCAAGCGATGACATGAACTGGTATGTGGAGGCTCATGTAGAAGAGATGGATGGCATGGTCGAATTCGGAAATGGATTCCCTCAGAATTATTATGAAATTCCATTGGAACATGGCTATAGCTCTCTGTGGCAACAGACCTATGGCCCAGCTGACCTTGATGATAACACCCCGATACTATGATTTCTTCTCGAGAAGCATGGTGCCAATGCAACACTAGTGGCCCATCCGCAACACAAGTAAATGCAAAGATCTAAAGTTTGGGGTTGAATGGGGTAATAATCACCCTGACAAGGTATATATATACATATATTCGTGGCAAATGGAATATGGATTGGAATGGATTGCATCCCAAATTTTTTTTTTGATACCTGTCTACTTCTTTACATGTCATTCACAGCCTTTTAATCTCATAAGACTATATGCTTTACTCTCTCAGGCATCAGGCTATTGGGAAGGCAAGAAGCAAATTAATCGAAGAGTTTCTGACAATGCGAAACGTATATGATTATATGTTTCATTTGTTGAACTAATATGCCAAGCTCTTGAACTTTAAACCAACAATACCTTTTAAAAGCACAAATGGTCTGCTTTGAAACCGCAGCATGCTCAAGGGAGGGTTTATGGAGGGAGTATATGGATCAGCCTATGGTGAAGTCCCCTAGTGATAAGCTTCCATGCACATTCTCTCCTCCGTGTGAACCTCAAGCTCTTCAAGCTTCTCTCGACCAAAAGGAAAGAATAACTATGCAACTGATGGAGTGGTAGACTGAATATTAGATGAAATTAAGTGATAAGAAGCAATAGAGACCCTCTTTTTTGTTTCATTTTCATGGTCATTGTTACCGAATAATAAAATTATTACCATTGCCTATGATTCAACATATCATATGGAAATTTTGTCTGAATTAATTAAATAGAAGACAAATTCCTTGATAGTTACATATTATTTTCAAAGTTAACGATATTTGCTTGTTTAAAAAAAATAAAAAGATAATATGCGTAATATTAACGTCTAAAATAAAATACAAAATCATCCATAATGATAATTTAGGATATATATAGATGTAATCATGACGAAAACTAGAAAAACAAGGGCGGTTCTCCTCCCGTTATATATTATCAGTTAGACTGGGGATTGCTTGAGATACAAAGAAAGTTAAAAATAGGGGAATAACTCTCACAAAGAAAGACTATAGATTGTGAACGAAAATGCCTTAGAATGGAATTAGTTATATGGAATTAGAGGGCTCACCCTTTGACAATGTCCAAGCTCATTTCATTTGGATCTGTTGCTTGTAATTCAACTTGAATGCCATCCAACTGTCTCTTGAACTTGTCCTTAGAGCTTGCATAAAGCATCTTAGTCCCCACCCTTGATGTGTCAGGTGACCTATACCACAAACAACATGGCAGTCGTTTTAATTGTAACGATCCTTCAAAAATTGAACAAAGAGAAACAAGCTATTGGGTTTTTCTCTTTTGCTTTTAGATACCAAAAATAACTAAGACAAGAGCAGAAAAAGCAAAAGAGATAGAAGTGTTATGTTCTGAAAATAAACATAAACGCTTGAGTCTCCATCATCTATTAAAAGAATCCAAATTCCTTATAATATACTTGCTGTAGAAAGTAGGCTCTAAGGTCAAACAAATTTGCAAATGCTTGGGTGTATCTAGTGATCCACTATTGTAAAGTGCAAAGACAAAGTTAGACATTAGCTTCATTGTATCCTTAAGGTTATTCGCATAATTCCTCTTTTACATACTGAGTGATGGAAACGAAATAAGTCTTAAAGATAATATCTATTGAAAGGCTTAGTCTTGAAGTCAATTTTGCTGATTTCTTGAATTACATCTAAACCCTATTTGCACCAACAATTTTTTTTTTCATTTACCTTCTTGATAAATTTCGGCAATCTATTTTTTTAATATTTGATTGAAGCATTTTATCATATGTTTTTCTTTTTCTTTTCTTTATTAAATAAATTATGCAATGAGAGAGAGATATATGATGTGAAAGTTTAACAAAAATTTGCTTGTAAAACTGATAAGTTTTTATTTGCAAACGAACAAGAGGCAGCTGATTACCAGCGCCACAAGTGATTTGTTTGTCCTGATAAGTCAGCAAAATATTTCAAATTGTACTAAATGATGTAAAGCAATAGGAATTTGAGATAATTAAGCACAATTTTATTCATTTATACTTGGAACACAGCAAATTTGCTGTGTAATTACACACATGCAAATGCTACATATTTTTTTCTCAGTCAAAGAAAGGATAATATATTAAAAAACATTGGGTACCCAAATCTGCTCAAAGCATACTACTCAAGAATCTTGAGCAAAATAAAAAAGAACAGCTTGATGGAAACAGAACAAAAGGCAGGAAAACGGCACACCGCTGAAGCAAGAAGTCACGACCTCATTGACAAAACCGAAACAGATATACTGCGAAGATGGTACTGTAGATGCTATAAAGAAGATGAAGACCAAAGTATGGGCAGCAAAGATCACAAATGCTACATAAGTTGTGACGATAGCCATGAGGTTCAACCTCGACCACCACGCCAGCGTAAGCGCATCACCTCCCGCAAATTCCTCTCTGATCAAATTCACGGCATACAAATCTGGAGCTTCCGTGAAAGTGGTGACGACTTTCGTCTATTCTCACATCCCCAGTTGTTGGAGTAGCCACCTCAGCTGTAAACTCATGTTCAACATGTTTGATCATTAAAGTTGGTTATTTACATATTTCAACTAATGAAAAAAATATTTAGCAAAAAATGAGAGCAGGAGATAAATTAAGAAGCCAGCTGACCATTGTTGATTTCTGTGGTAGTTTCAGGTAGGTCTCCAGGAGCCAGCTCCGAAGAGATGAGAAGAACAACGGCTAAAAGAGCAAGTGTTTGGACGAAAGTCTTGGAACTCATAATCCTTATCAAAGTAAAACAATGTTTGACAAAAATATTTGGAGAGGGATATACTTTAAACCAGGGCATTCACGACCTCTATTATATATACAATTAACTCAATCATTTCATCTCTTTTACTTCGTTTATTATTATTAACTAATAATGAAAGAAACATTATCCGAATATTTTAGATATTTTTTTGGGCCCCAACACATAATCCAACCTGCCACAATACTTTCTTCAATTCTTGTCATGATCCCATTTGCCAATCTGCCAGAAATTGGGCTCCCTTGAGGAGTACTTTTGTGTGTGGCTAATGCACTCAAGAGACAAAAACATACTTGGTTCAGCCACCTACATCCGTATGCTAGGGATGGGGCCTATAAGAACCATGTAAGAAAGATTAAGAGCCGTGACTCTTTGATGATAGGATTCGCAAGTGACACCAATCCAGTTGCAAACAGAGGTAGCACTATTCCAGTTGGTTTCCATTAGGTTTTGAGGGTCATGGGTGACATGAGCTTTTAGCGCAAGAAGAGCCAGTTGGTCAGTGGTGGTGTAGGGTGATTCCTTTGACAGAGGAGCCACAAAGTTGCGCAACACAACCACATATACCATAAGAGGGAAGAGGAAGCCAATGCTTCCCATGAGGTTATATTTGTGGTTGAGGAAAATTAAGAAAGAGACAACTCAGTTTATTTGTTGAATCATTGTGTTGGTTGATGTTCATTCTTTAAATACTATCCATGGTGGAGCATCGTAGAAAAAGTCTCTACAAATAAAGAAAAGCAAAAAGCAAAATGGACAAACGGCCGTACCAAAAGGAAAATGGTGAAGCATGCCCTCTGCTTCACGGTGAAGCTTGTGTTTTGCAGACTAATTCTACCACCTTCAAATATAATCAATGCAAGTGAGCTTTGTCAGGAAAGAATTTAACCTTTTGGTTTAAACAAATTCAACAAAATTTGTACGAGTGATGCTGAGTATTCCACCTTTTAATAAAGTTTCATATATACTTAACGTATTTTCTTTTGATTTATCTATTTCTTCACGAATATTTTTTCTTTCATCAAATTCTTTTTTTTCCCATCTCATTGTTAGAGTTGGATTGACAATACTTTTATCAAATTCTTTTTTTTTTTAACTTTTTTTTCACAAAATATAGATAGAAAAGAAAAAAAATAAAAAATCAAAGACAGCTTGAAAAAAGCAAAAATATAAATCAAAGGGAACTTTAAAAGCATGGATTAATCCTCAATACAAAGATTAATTTTTTTTCTAAAGTGGACTAATATCAGTGTTTGGTAGACTTGTTCTAGCACCTTAAAATAGAGTCAATGCAAGTAAGGTTTTTAGTTCTAGTGAGTTATGAAGTGTGTTCCACCTCTTAATAAAGTTTTAAATATACTTAATGCTTTTCTCATTTCTTTATTTCTCCATTATGTTTTGTCTTCCTTGACACGGTTGAAGTATTCATCATTAACTAAAATTACATTAAATTAGCGTGAAGCACATGTATACAAGTCCTCTTCCTTTTGAAAAATTTTATTCTTCTACTTATTTTATTACAAGTAATAATGAAAAAAAAAAACGTACTTCTTCAACACATAATGAATCCAACCTCCCACAATGTCCACTTTCTTCAATTTTTGTGCCTTGAAGAGTACATTCATGATTCATGTGTGGAAAGTTCACACCTGAGACACAATCAAAATACTTGTCCAGCCACCAAGTATATCAGTCCACATTGTACCAAAATTACTTTCTTCCCATCCATTTAATTGGTATTATATCAGTCCCTACTCCCAAAGTAATCTGCATTCAGCATCCACTGTCCTGTTATATTACAATAAACACAAAGAAACAAGTGATCCCAATCTCTTCACCAAAGCTAAGGCAGTTCTTGATCAGGTAACTTAGCAAAGGAGATTAAGCCCCAGGCATTGATGGGTAGCATAAATTATGAAAAATATTCAGAGATAAGTAGCAGAGCACACTATTTCTTTCCCTTGAATCATATCTAGTCAGCCTTGTTATGCATTTTCTTCTACTTGTTGAAACCACAAGGTTTTCTATGTAACAGCTAATAATTTAGCAACATCAGCATTATCAGTCATTCCAAACCAATGTTCCTCAACCTTATCATTAGCATTATCACTCTCCCTACCGCTGCACAAAATTACTTTCAGTCTTCAGAGCTCAATCACAATGTTCCATGAAGGTTTCCTGTTCTTTAATGATATTTTTTTTATTGTTTGATGAGATGATTTTATCGATTATCATATATTTTGTATTTTGTAAGATTTGTAAGAATCATGAAGCTGACGTAGTATTATCTGTTGAAATCATTGAAATCATTGTAAGATTTGTAAATGATACATTGAATTAATCGTCTCCCAAACTTTTTTAAATTTTTTATTTATTAATGGCCTCCTCAAAATAATTTTTTTATTTAATAATTAATATAAACAAAAAATAATAAAATGACCCCTCAAATTTTAGTCAACTTTACCTTACTTCAGTTTCTCCACACCTATTTCTTTCTCTTTCTTTTCTCTTTTGTCCTTTGATTTTACTTTATTAATTCTTAGTGGCAATCAAAAAGCATCTTCTCATCTCAATTATCGACCTGTTTTTGTGCTCACTAACTCCATTCTGTTGTGGACAATATGGAGCAGTGAATTGGTGATGTATTCTTCTTTTTTCTAGAAAATAAGTGAACTCCACTTGTTTAAACTCTCCATCTCATCTTGCTCACTAACCTGAGAGCTTTAATTCTTCTCCCTATTTCTGTCTCCACTTTGGCTTTGAAACTCATAAAATGATTAAAGATTTCTAACTTCAACTTCATGAAATAAATCCAACACATCTGGATTTGATCATCCAAGAAATTTAGAAAAAATATAGTCCAATTTAAAGAGGCTTCACTCAATGGACCTCCCACATCTGTATGGATCAATTCAAGTTTTTTTGCAGCTCTGCTTGAACTCATAGAAGGGTAAGGCTTCCTTGTTATTTTTTTTAAACTAACAAGCCCCACATACTTGATCAGTGTTATCTATTAAAGGTAGATTCTCCAATAAACCTGCTAAACTGGCCTCTATCAAGGATGCAATATTACAATGGCCTAATCATTTGTGCCACAACGAAGTCATATTTGAATCAATCTCAAACACCTACATGGATGTATTATTCCAATTTATGGGAAAACAATTTTGTTCCAAAGGTATATTCATCATGTAAGTACCATTAGGAGCATAAATGTTGCATGATAAGTCCGTAAACAACAAAACATAATTCTGCTTAAGTAATCACCTTACACTTAGTAGATTTTGTGTAAGTTCAAGAACTAAAAGAACTTCAAACTCATACCCGTCACCACTGGCAGTTTGTATTACTACTAACCCTTTCCCTTTCACTTGCAAATTGATGCCATTTCCAATCTCTACTCTGAATCGATAGTGCTCATTAAACTCAGCAAATAGCTTCTTATTAGGTGTCATATGATTAGAAGCCCCACCATCAAGCAATCACAGCTTTGCATTAACTGCTTTCACATTCCCTAAGTGAGCCCTCAACAAGTGTTCTTCAGCTAACTTGGCTTTTTCTACTAGTTCATCACTTTTTCTTGCATTTTCAGTTTTATTTTTGCAAATTCTCTATACATGTCCCATTTGATTGCAATTTCGACATTTGACATAGGGTCTAAACCAGCAACTATTCTCAACATGACCTTTCTTCTTACAATAAGAACATGCATGCATCTTACCTTTCTTTTACTGATTTCTAGTTGTCACTTGAACCCCTTTTCTTTCTCCTTCAAATCATAAGAGCCTTTCTTCGAGCTAGACTCTCCCACTGATTTCCTTTTGGTTTTTTCCAATAAGGTAGTTTCAATTACAATATCACTTCTCATAACCCTCATTTGTTTAGTTGCTTGGAGGGCATATGCCACATCTAATAATGACATTTTGGAGAGTTTCTTTTCCATAAAAGCAACTGTAGCTTCAAAATTTTCTGGTAGGGAGATAAGGGCCTCCTGAACAACTCTTTTTTCTGAAATATCCTCTCCTGAGAGTTTCAGTTGATTAACAACTCTCATAAGTCTACTGATGAAGTCCTTTGCATTCTCAGAATTCTTCATTCTCATTGTATAAAACTCCCTAGTCAAGTTCATATTTTGCATTTCTTTGATTCTTTCAAAACCTTCAAACTGAACTTTCAATCTTTCCCAAGCATTTTTGGCAATTTTGCAACCCATAATTCTTACAAACATAGCATCTGTAAGAGCTCCCTGGATGTAAGACAAGGCATAATATTGTTTAGCCACTTCCTCTTGATACTGTTTGACTTGAGCTATGGTTGCATTATCTTTTAGAGTGGGAACTTCAGCTCTTGATTCAACAGCATCCCAGAGGTCAAGACCTCGAAGGTATGACTTCATCTTTTCAAACCAAATTGGATTATTTTCTCCATTGAACACTGGAGGTGCTTGAAGGCTGAATGCAGTGTTTGATGGAGATGGAAAGGCCATTATGTTTTCAAGCGAGTGTATAATTATTTTCAAAGAAAGTCTTTGGTTCAAATGGCCATACGGTTCCTTGAGAACTTAATTTTGCTCTGAAACTATGTTAAGTATCAGAAGTAAAAGACAAGAACGAGGTCACTGTAAACGACCTTTGTTAAATGGTTCAAAAACAAAGACGAACAGAGGTTTTTCAAACTAAACTTCTTCATCGTGGTTTTTCATTCATTAGCATGGTATATCCAAATACTTTGACAAGGGATGAGATTACACAAATTACTCTGGTTCATGTAGAGATTACTAGTGCTAACTGTGAAAGATTAAAGAGCATGCAAAATTACACATAATATAACACCCCATTCATGCAGACACATCTCCATAATTCAACCTGGAAATCAACCATGGCACGTGTGATTCATCTTCAAAATATCATGCAAGCACTATCAACAACAATCCAAACCCCCGAATAATGGAGTACTAAATCGTTTCCATAGCCCTCTCTATTGTTTTTTATGCAATGCTGACTAG